AATGGAAAACGGCCTAAGTGCTTGGGATCCTGCAACCAACCACTTGGGAGACCAGGAGGAAGCTCCTGGCTCTTGGGTTTGGAAAGGCAGAGTTACAGAGAGGGATAGAGGGAGAAAGAGAGAGAGAGAATCTTCTATTTCCTGGTTCATTCCCCAGATGGTCACAACTGCCAGGGCTTGGGCCAGACTGAAGCCAGGAGCTTCATCTGGGTCTTGGTGCAGGGGCCCGAGCTCTTGAGTCATCCTACATTGCTTGCCAAGGATCCTTAGCAGAGAGCTGGATGGGAAGTGGAGCAGCCAGGACTTGAACTGGTGCCCATATGGAATGCTGGCGTGACAGGGATCAACTTTATCCTGTACGCCACAATGTTGGCTCCCTCATCACTTTCTTTAGCATATGTATTTTTTGTCTTTACTTAGCTATAAATTTCAAGCTCAAATTCTACACATGCCTTATATATTATGTTGAAACATTTAGAACATAATTATTTTATGAAATAGGTATATATGAAATAATTTTAAAAGCTCCCTTCAGGGGTCATGTGTGGCTTCAGTTTGATCATGGTGTTATGGCTAGCGATATACTGTTTTTCATTTTCTTTTCCAATTAATATTTCTAATACAGTTTTGCATTTTAATAAGGACTGAAAATGTTAAACATACACAACCCCTTGCTACCTCAAGGATTTCTTTTGATGATGTGGAAGCCTTAGGTTAATTTGAGGACTAATGCTTTCTTTTTAGAAAAAAGAAAACTTTCAAGGTTAAGGGTATATTGTATAGAATCTTGCGTGAGATAGATATATAGTCGTGAGAGTGCTTTGTTGTGGCTTTGAGTACATGTTAGGTATTTTAGTAAAATGTAGATGAAATAAATCTAGTACCAGATGTATCAGATGATTAAGTATTTAACAAAAACTGGTTCTTATTCAGGGACAGCAATTGGTGACTTTGCCTCCTTATTCATAAAAGCAGCCGTAGTTCGCAAATAGGTTTGTGCCTAGCCTTTGTTTTTCTTAAGGAATCAATACAACATATATTGAATAAGTCTTAGACCAGCTCATCAAGCCCTATTTAAGCTTTAATGGCTTTGAATCAGCATTGTTGTTCTCAAGAATTGTAACCATTTCTCAACAGATGGAATTACATAATTTTGTCTCCTGTGTCTACCTTAGGAGTTGGTCTGTTCTTCCTGAATCAAGTGCCTAGACTTTTCTTGGCCTAGACTTTTGTTGGGATGAAGAAATAAACCATGGGATTTACAAGAATTTTAAAAACACGTGGCTTCTAGCAAGTCCTATTCTTTTAACTGATTTGTTAAGTACAGTCAAAGGCAGTTGTAATGCAATGTATTTGAATGGCCAGTACACACAGTATTTCTACATATGTTGCAGAAGAAAAAACGTTTGTGTTTTAGCCTCTTTGTAAAGGAGAGTCTGTGAGACTTCTCCCAATTTGTAATATGGCTATTTCTCTTCCTTAATGCTTATATAAAAATCTATTTTATTATCTTATCTAACAATTTACATGTTTAAACTGTTTTATTGCCGTTTTCAAACTATCCATGTGACACTTAGTCATTTTTAATCTTTCTTCCATACATAGTTGGAATTGCAACATGGGCCTAGAGATGCAGATTGAGACAATTTAGGGGGGATATTCTCTTTTTAAACTTTAATGAAAATTTCAAATAAACCAAAAGTCAAGAGAAAACCCTTTTTTCTACTAATATTTAATAGTTAACCTTTTAACATAGTTAATGTCAATACAAATCCTTTTACTATAGTTAAAATACTGAAATTTGTTCTGACAGTATAAAAAGATAAATGAAAATACTTCAAGTTAATGGAAAATGGAATCAAAAGCTAAGTTATTTTGGTGCACTTTTTTTCATTTCCTGTATGTGAAATATCTTATTCATATAAAATGTATATATTTGGAAAACAGTGTACTGATTTCAAAAAAAATAAGCTTCTAATAGATTTTTCTACCAACTTTTTGAAGTACCCTCAATACACGTACATAATTTGCTGTGAAACATTTCAGATATCCGGAAAAGTAAAGCTAATACAGCAAGCCTCCTTGATATATGGCACTTATCCTCTGATTATACAGTTACTGTCCATCTGTAACACTCTTTTTCCTGGCTATTTAAATGTGTTTTTTTTTTTTTTTTTTAAGATTTTTATTTATTTATCTGAGAGGTAGAGTTACAGACAGTGAGAGGGAGAGACAGAAAGGTCTTCCTTCCGTTGGTTCATTCCTCAAATGGCTGAGACAGCTGGAGCTGCGCCGATCCAAAGCCAGGAGCCAGGAGCTTCCTCCTGGTCTCCCATGCAGGTGTGTGGGCCCAAGGACCTGGGCCATCTTCCACTGCTTTCCCAGGCTATAGCAGAGAGCTGGACTAGAGGAGGAACAACCGGGCCTAGAACTGGTGCCCATATGGGATGCCGGTGCCACAGGTGGAAGATTAACCCACCATGCCATGGAGCCGGCCCCTTAAATGTTTTTTAAAGTGTGTGAATTGGGCATACCAGAATTGGAGATCATTTTTGTGTTCATAATGGCTTGAGTTAAGAGTGGGCAAAACTTTTAAGTCTGTTAATAGGAGTAATGGACTAAACAATTACTAATTAAACCTGAGGAGTTACGTGCCAGGAGCCATATCTCCAGGATGCAAAAAAATAATTAAGAAAAAATACTCCACTGTAAAGTGAGCTAAAGTAGAGGTTCTAACATGTTTTCAAAGCACAAATGAAAGTGGAATGGGAGGATAAGATATTAGAGAAGGCGTCTTCAAGAAAGGTTATGAACTTCAGCTCTGAGATCATTGCCTGAGGGGATTTGATTGATAAGCATATAGTTTTCAAGTGATTTACTATAATAGAAAAGAATATTTGCACGGTCCGATGCTATTCATATTTGCTTTGGATTTCTTAAAAAATTTTATTTTTTGAGAGCTAGCAAGACAGATACAGACAGATATTTCCCTGGCTCATTCCCCAAATGCCTGTAAGTGCTGGGGCTGGGCCATAGTGGAGCCAGGAGCTGCAGGGATCATGACCACTACCTCCCATGGTGCACCTCAGCAGGAAGCTAGAATGGGAAGAAGAGCTGGGACGTGAACCCAGGTGCTCAGATGTGAGACGTGGGCATCCTGAACAGCATCGTAACTGCTGCTCCAAACCCCTGCTCCTGGTGATGCCTTTATTAAGATGAGCATACAAACTTGAGAATTTGTTTTTAGATCTTAAAATTTTTTTGTGATACTGTTTTGTTCTAATTGGATCTTCATTCATCCTTTATACTATTTATCCTTTTATGTTGATAATTATTTTTCTAATCAGTATCTTAAATATTAAATAGATCTTTGGAAGTGTTTCACTAATCATAGTCTTCAGAGACACTGTTGTTCACTCATAACTACCTTATATGGATGTAGTTTGGTTATCACTGTTTTGCAGATGAAGAATTAAAACACACTTGTCCAGGACATAATAACCAGTGAGAATGGAAACAAGACTGAAATGAGTTTAGAACCTGTGCTCTTAGCCTCTAGGTTATACTTCCTCTCAGGCTGCTTTGGCTTGTATTAGTCCTCTGAAGATACTGGTTTTGTTTGCAGTGGCATTACTTTTCATATTTTCTAATTTTGGTACTTAGCTTTCATAGGGTGCTTATTTTTCTCAAATATTTGATTTTTGGATGTATACTTGTTTTAGTACTTGGTAATTGTCTAAACATGCTATAAAGTTTGCATCTACTGGTTGTTGAGGAGAGGATTATAACTTAGAGCTGGAAAGGATTTTGGGTATGAGGATTTTCTTAAAGATTCTTCTTTTTTTTTTTTTTTTAATTTATTTGAAAGATAGAGTTACAGAGAGAATTAGAGTCAGAAAGAGAGAGGTCTTCCATCCCACTGGTTCACTTCCCAAATGACTGCAACGACCAGAGCTGAGCCGATCCAAAGCCAGGAGCTTCTTCAGTTCTCCCACACGGGTGCAGGGGCCCAAGGAGTTGGGCCATCGTCTGCTTTCCCAGGCCATAGCAGAGGGCTGGCTCTGAGAGGAGCAGCCGGGACTTGAACCGGCGTCCATGTGTGATGCTGGCGCTGCAGGCTGGGGCTTTAACTCGCTGCACCACAGTGCTGGCCTCGGGTATGAGGATTTTCTGTGAATCCTCTTTGTGTACAGTACTACTCATCTTCTTGACTCATTTGGCTGTGTGTAATCCTCCTGCCTCCGGCAGACACTTGATACCCACTCCTTGCTTGGTGACAGAGAAGGGGGTCCATCTTCCAGGTTGTTCTGAATGCCTTTACCCTGAGGATTGCTCCATGGTTCTCCTCTGCCTCTTTACCCCATAATAGCTGCTTTACACTACGCGTGGAATGTCTCTGGAATTCCCTCCACAGTTCAGTTTTCTTGTGCTTGCATTTTAGACTTTGGTTTCTCCAGTTTCATTTCTTCTTGTCTCTTTGTCTTTTAGAAATTATCTCTTTCTTTAAGGCCATATTCTTATTCTACAATATTGGTATAGTCTGTTTTTTAGTGCTGTTTATTATTCCTGTAATTTTTAGTTATGGGACTGTGAGTATTTAGATCCCATATATATATTCCTTCTTCTGTTTTGATGCTGTCTTCTGTCATTGCTTCTTAATCTTTTGACAGTCATGTACTTCATTGAGCAATGATGAATTTTGTAAACCCTTACCTCCCTTTTTCATCCAGATTTGTAGCCCTCTATCACCTGGACTCTAAACAATAGCCAAATGTCAATTTAAACATTACTAGTTTTGTAGATGTGTTTTTGTAAGGGGAAGGGGGAGTTATTTTTAGTTATATGTTAGAGGCAAAAGTATATTCCTTTGATATTTTCAGGCTTCCTACCTGTTACTGAAGATTACTTTGGAAGAGATATTTAAGTAGCCACAGTTTAAAGAAAGCTGTTTTTCTCCATTGACCAGTTTTATAACATTTCTTTTTTTCTCTTTTCTCTAGGTTTAACTATAGATCAACACATCATCTTGCATCTCATGGGTTCTATGAATTTTTAAATTGGTTTGATGAAAGAGCATGGTATCCACTAGGAAGAATAGTAGGTGGTACTGTAAGTATTAGCAGTTATGTATGTTAATTATGAAATTTTAGTGATTTGGCTATTAGTTGCTGAGATCATAGGATTCTTGAAAGTTTTGTGTAGGTAATGTATTTTTCCATGTCTGATTATCTTATATTTAATTTACTACTTAGGCTCTACTTGTGACACACACATCCTCCTATACTCCTGCCTGTTTTGGGGTTATTTCACCCTAGCCGTTATTTCTGACAAGTAGTGAAGACTGAATAAGGATCTGCTGTCACAGTGTATTTTGAATTCAGATTATTTGTGTGTTTTTGTTTTATTCTGTAGCAACTTGGTTTGAAAAAATTTTTGGAAGGATCTAGACATTCAATATAACCAGATACTTCTAATTTGTTTTTGTAATTATTTCCTTGGGAGACAGCATGCTTTCTTGTGCATGGAGAGAAATGTGTACTTCCCCTCTTTGCATTCCTATCCCCTGGCTCCCAAATACTCAGAACATGTCCCAAGTCCAGGTTTCCCATGTACCTGGCAAAAACCCAATTACTTGAGCCTTCACTACTGTCTACTAGGATCTACATTAGCAGGGGGGCTGGAGTCTGGAGCCAGGAATCCAACCCATGGCCTACAGAGTGGAACAAGTGATCTCTACTGGCATCTTAACTGCAAGGCAGAATGCCTGCTGTGTATAATTAGAATTTTTCAAACCACAGATCTCCTAAGTATTAGGTAACTAAGTATTGTCTAGACTTCATGGAGAATTCTGAGATATAAGGAGAATTTAGAAGAACAGGTGAAGGGCAAGGCAGCTATAAGGGAGATAATACATGTATTTAATATGTTTTTCCTTGATGAACTTTGCCACAGGTTTATCAATTTTATTAGCCATTTTTCTTATCCCGAAGAAACATTTACTCTGATTATCTATGTTATTTCTGTTTTACTAATTTCAGTTCATTCTTTGCTTCTACTTTATTGAGTTTGTTCTGATCCTTGACTCTCTTGTAAACCTTTGTTCATTACTAATGCATAAATTTTAAAAATAATTATTTATTTTGAAAAGTGGAGTTAGAGCGCTTCCATCCACTGGTTCATTCCCCAGATGTCCACAACAGCCAGCAGTGGGCCAGACTGGAGCCAGGAGCTTCAGCTGGGTCTCCCACATGCGTGGCAGGGACCCAAACTCTTGGACAATCTGCTGCAGCTTTTCCCAGACCATTAGCAGGGAGCTGGGTCAAAGTGGAGCAGCTGAGTCTTGAACTGGTGCTCTGATGTGAGATGCCAGCACGGATGTGCAGCAAGAGACAGCAGAACCTGCTGCACTACAGTGCTGGCCCCTACACGCTTTCCTGGCCTGGCATTTCCTATACCCAGTGCTACAGATGTGGAATGGACATGCACACACATTTGAATGAGTTATTTTTCGTTCAAAGCTTGGAAGGAAGGCAAAGTTCTTTACTGCTTCCCTTGATGGTTAGGTAGAATTTGTCTACTATACTTTCATAAACAGCCTGACTTTGTGTTGGGAATTACATCCTAGTCCAATGTTGTGGGTGAAAACTCCCCAACCTCCCATCCTTACGACCTATATCAGGCCTGGATTTTTTGGGGTTTTTTTCTCTTCCTCTGTGTGGGTTTCCATTACATCAGAACCTACTTTGAATTTCCTCTTCATTTTTGGCATCTGAAGAATTCTTGTGAGGTTGACTACACCTTTATGTTGTTGCTTTGTTTCTTTGCTTTTGGTCCTTTCAAATTCATCCTAGTCCCATTTGGGCTGTTTTTTGTGTGTTAGCCCAGCCTGCCATATATTTTACTCTATAGGTATGTTGGTCTACCTTGAAAGATGTTTTCAAATTTTCTTTGAATATTATTAGCGGAGTCATGCACTAGGATCTAGAATAGAATGTAAAATGACCCAATTTTTATTTTTAAGCATGATGGTTAATTAATGTACTTTTTTCCTTCCCTCCTTCTATACTTTTTTTTGAAAAAGCAGAGAAAGAGACAGACTAACACAGATGTTTCCACCTGCTGGTTCACTCTCAAAATGCCCCCACAATCAGGGATGAGCTGGGACAAAGCCAGGAACCTAAAGTCAATCCAGGTCTCCCATGTGTGGACAGTAAACAGTTACTTAAGTACTTGACCCATTGCCAGTGCCTCCAGAGGGCACATTAGGAGGAGTCTGGATTGGAAGTGGAAGAGCTAGAATTCAAACTGGGCCCTCTGATAAAAGATGCAGATACCCCAAGTGACTTCGTAACCTCAGTGCCAAATACCCATCTTCTCTGTAATTCAGTCTCTTTCCCTTCCATACATTCAGTAGGTATTGAGCATATGTTTTATGTCAGTTACTGTTAAAAACACACAAAAACTAGGGAAAAAATTCTTGCCATTCTAGAGTTTATATTCTTGTAAAGGTGAGCAGTTACTTGATAATAAATAAGTAAAACAATTTTAAGCATTGTGGGGGAAAATGTGGGTTAAAGATCGTGGTGGGGGTGGCCTTGCAGTTTCTAACTCTGCCTGTCAAAAAAAAAATAATATAGCCAAGAAAGGAAATTTTTAACATAACTGCAGTTTCAGTACTGGAGTGGAATAAGAAAGCCGATGTAAATGCACATTTTTTTTTTAAAGATTTATTTGAAAGGCAGAGTTACAGAAAGAGGGAGAGGCCGAGGCAAAGAGATCCTTCATCTACTGGTTCACCTGCCAATTTGCCGCAACACCCAGGACATAGCAGATTGTAGCCAAGGGGTTCACCTGGGTCTTCCACGTGGGTACAGGGATCCAAGCACCTGAGCCACCTCCACTGCTTTCTTTTATTTATTTATTTATTTTATTTTTTTTTTGAAAGGCAGAGAGACAGAGAGAAAGGTCTTCCTTTTCCGTTGGTTCACCCCCCAATGGCCACTGCAGCCAGCGCACTGTGCCGATCCAAAGCCAGGAGCCAGGTGCTTTCTCATGGTCTCCCATGCAGGTGCAGGGCCCAAACACTTGGGCCATCCTCCACTGCCTTCCCAGGCCACAGCAGAGGGCTGGACTGGAAGAAGAGCAACCAGGACAGAATCCGGCGCCCCAACCGGGACTAGAACCCGGTGTGCAGGCGCCACAGGCAGAGGATTAGCCTATTGAGCTGCGGTGTTGGCCCCGCTGCTTTCTTAAACCATTAGCAGGGAGCTAGATCAGAAGTAGAGCATCCAGGACATGAACCAGTGCCTGTATGGGATGCCAGCATCGCAGGCGACAGCTTAACCCAACATACCCTGTAAGTGCACATTTTGATTACTGAGTAGTAGCTCAAAAATAGTGTCCTATTTACTGGGTTTTTTTCCTTAAAGATTTATTTTGTGTTTGAAAGACAGTTACATAGAGAGGTAGAGACAGAGAGGGGTCTTCCACCCACTAGTTCATTCCTCAGATGGCTGCAACTGCTGGAACTGAGATGATATGAAGCCAGGGTCTTCTTCCAGGTCTCCCACGTGGGTGCAGGAGCCCAAGGAATTGGACCATCCTCTGCTGCTTTCCCAGGTGCATTAGCAGGGAGCTGGATCAGAAGTGGAACAGCTGGGACTCTAACTGGCACCCATATGGGATGCTGGCACTGCAGGCCTGAGGCTTTAACCTGCTGTGCCACAGTGCCGGCCCCTACTGTTCTTTTAATCTTCTTACTGTTTTTTGATTTTCTTCTACTGTAAGGGTAAGTATAACTGTTACCTGGTTCTTCTGTTACCTGATTCTTCTATTTTATTATATTCCTTCTATTCCTAAGAACATTAAATGATATAAAAACTTTAAGCTTTCAAGAGTCTCAGAACATCTCTAAGTTGACCATCTGAGTGGTCTTTTTTTCCTAGAGTTGTTTACATTTCAAATCTTGAGCTTGAGAGGAGGGGAGAGTTATTTATGAATACACTTTATTGTGCTTTCTCCTTTTCTCATTCCCTTAAACATCAACAAGTATGAAAAAAATGGATTGTATTATAACCCCAACCTTGAAGATGTTAGAGTTAGGACACTGTTGAGGGATGAAAAAGTTATGGGATCAATGAGAAAGTGATCTATAGTTTAAGATTGTTAAAACTCTTCAATCTGAGTTTCATTCTTGTTTCATAGGCACTCTGATCTTTTATTTAGATGTGCTTTCCTCCACATATGACAGAACTTTTAAAAATGGAAAAATGAAACTAAAGATACATTGGTGTGGGCATTGTGCATAGTGGTTAAGGCCCCACTTGGGATGCCTGCCTCCGTATCAGAGTGCCTGGGTTTGAATACCAGCTCTACTCCTTCTTCCAGCTTGCTGGTCTTGTGCCTCTCAGGGTGTAGCAAGTGATTGCTCGAGAGGCTCTCAGCTGAGTTCGCTGTGCCTGGGTTGGTCTTGACCTATTCTGGCAGTTGGAGGCATTTGGAAAGTGAACCAGCAGATGGGAGATCTTTCTATTTCTCTTTCAAGTGAATTTTTCTTTTTATTTTTACATACTTTTCAGTTTATTTTATATTCATAAGATTAACCCTCCACTAAGTAAAGAATTCAACAAATACTAAGAAAGAATCACTGCTCCTCAGCAGTATAGACAAAGGCCATAAACAACAATGTAAATCTCCAGAATGTCCATTCTGCTCATATACATCACTTTTTAGTGCTCTTTTAGTTACCACAGATCAGAGAAAACACACAATATTTCTCTTTTTGGGATTATCTCATTTCACTAAGTATAATGATTTCTGTTTGCATCCATTTTGTTGCAAAAGACAGGATTTCATTATTTTTTACAGCTGAGTATAGTATTCACATTGTATATTTATCACATTTCTTTATATAATCATCAGCTTATAGACATCTGGGTTGATTCCTTATCTTAGCTATTCTGAATTAAGCTGCAATAAACAAAGGGGCACAGATAACTCTTTCATATGCTGATTTTTTTTTTCCTGGGGTAAATTCCCAGGAGTGGGATTGCTGAGTCATATGGTAAATCTGTTTTCAGATTTCTGAGGAATCTCCATACTTACTGAAT